AGCAAGTTATCTCGTAACTTATTTCGCTTTAATTCTTTTATATTACACTGTTTCTTACCCATCCTCTCGCCTCCCCCACCCACAAAATATATATACTTTAGTATATAAGAGTATTTAACTGAAATCAGACCAGGATGGATCGAATGCCTATCTGTAGCGTTGTTTTTCTTATGTTTATGACCACCTCCGCCATCATATATTTTTAAAGGGCATTCTTGCCTGATACAGTAGAGTCGGGCGTGGTCTAGAGGATGGCATTCTGGACTTTGAATACTTGGGTCTATGGGTTGCAAAAATCGCGTCTTGCAGTTTCGGAAGTGGGTGCATTATAGCATTATAACTTTGACGTCAAAACCTACGGCTCGCTTAAAGTAATTCAAAAGTTGGCGGCAGGTGTTGCCTTCTTTCTCGTTTATAAGTTCAAAATTAGGTACGACAGCACAGATAGCCCCTGTATAGCTGTGCGCGTACATCGAAATCACGCAAGCAAATTTATCATTTCCATCAAATAGACGCTATTTCTAAAGTCTAAACTATTATTACCATGAAAAACTAAACTCTATCAGTCAAGCTATAATATAATGCATTTAAAGTGTAGTGAAAAACGGTCTATTTTTAGCTAAGTTGTATTTACAAATTCTGTCAAACAACACACGTTTAATCGATTAAGTCGTTTCTCATTTCTACGTTTGTACTATTGTAATATTAGGAAGACTTCAGGTGTGCATATCCCATACAAGCTATGGTACTAGTGTATGGCACGTGTCAAGACTTCTTTCCCCCAAGGCAATCGTAACAAATATGTACTTGTTTGTTTGTTTTTGAATTTCGCGCAAAGCTACACTAGGGCTATCTGCGCTAGCCGTCCCTAATTTAGCAGTGTAAGACTAGAGGGAAGGCAGCTAGTCATCACCACCTACCGCCAACTCTTGGACTACTCTTTTACTAACGAATAGTGGAATTGACCGTCACATTATAACGCCCCCACGGTTGAAAGGGCGAGCATGTTTGGTGTGACGAGGATTTGAACCCGCGACCTTCAGATTGCCATGAGATACATTATAATGTTATATGTGATGTTTTAATTGATATAATACATGGACATACATTACAATGTTATATGTGTTGTAGTAATTGATATAATACACGAACATACATTATAATATTATATGTGTTGTAGTAATTGATATAATACATGGACATACATTATAACCACCTGGCCATGCCGGGCCAAATATATACTTCATATATAAGAAATGTAAAGCGTTTAACATGCAAGAACATAGCTATTTAACAGCAGCACCTCGGAAAGTTAATTGTGATGACAAACTGACATAAAAAAAAAACATACAGAGAAGAATTATGTCAAAAGCCTCTTAAAATGACGTTATAAACTGGTTGTTGTTATTCATTTGGCTTCTATAGTATCAATAGATGTTCTATTTTTCATAAGACAATAAACTTAATACTATAAATGATTATAATCAGGTTTCGCCAGCAAATGTCATTAACTCCATAACAGGCAATTTGTTTGTTTGCCAAGTTATTCTTTTAATGTCATTTCATTGATCATACATTTAAGTCTTATGTCAATTCGAATGAAGCATGTTCACGATTACACACCTGAGGGTAAGCCCACGGATATACAGCTTTAAAATCAGGGGTTCGATTCCCCCCTCGGTGGACACAGCAGATAGCCCGATGTGGCTTTGTTATAAAAAAAAACCACGAATACCACATCTGAGGATTTAATAGAACGCAAATTAGTGTATTTCTGTAAAATAGCATCAAAATTATTCATTGAATCGGAATCAGTTATTTTGAAAGGTTTTGTTTGAGTACCACTAGGAGGAGATTTGAAGAAATGATTGCCATCTAAATATGTTGTTTTAATACACTCTCTATCTTGCAGTTGTGAGATAGTACGTGTACTGTTACAACAAACTGGTGCAAAACATCACAAACTATCGTAAAATAAACATCCTATCTATATACATATAACGGTAAGCTTTAGGTTTTATAACGTAAAAATTTGGGGTTTGACCTCAACAGTGGACAGAATACAAATAGCCTCTTGTACAGCTTTACGTTTAACAACAAACAAACCAAGAAAACACTACATAAACATTCAGCTCGAACATATCAGATAAAGGAATTTCTTGAAATGAAATAAGGTTAATTAAATATTCACATCAACGCCTAAAATAAAATTTAAAAACATTATTGCTGTTGTGTTTTAACGCACAATTACACAATGGGTTATCCGCGCTCTGTCCACCACGGGGAATCGAACCACGGATTGTTTAGCGTTGTAGGTTCGTAAATTTAATTACCGCTGACCCACTAGGCGACTATAAAGATAACTAATAACGATTGTTTGTTTGTTTGGAATTTCGCGCAAAGCTATCTGCGCTAGCCGTCCCTAATTTAGCAGTGTAAGACTAGAGTGAAGGCAGCTAGTCATCACCACCCACCACCAACTCTTGGGCTACTCTTTTACCAACGAATAGTGGTATTGACCGTCACATTATAACGCCCCCACGGCTGAAAGGGCGAACATGTTTGGTGTGACGGAGATTCGAACCCGTGACCCTCAGATTGCGAGTCGAGCTCCCTAACCACCTGGTCATGCCGGGCCACTTGTGTGAAGGATGAATCCCTGGTGGGGTAATGATCTGCTGTCAAGACAAATTAAGCGGATGGAATAGAACATTAAAGGATTTTATTTTCACACCTCCAGAAAATATACTCACCTCCCACTCTTAGGGATGATTCTTGCAACAAAGATAACGATGAAAACACCACCAGAATAATTAACATTATCAATCAGTATTTTAGATACATTGGTAACGCACTGTTTGTCTGATTCATAATTTAAGGGAAAAAAGCTCCCACTTTGTTTCGGTATTTAAATTCCACCCAAACAATGTATTATTTGTTTGCCTAAACCTGAACGAAATCTTATGCGACACATCAGCTAAAACGCCCAGTCAAGAGACCCAAAGGTTCAGGCAAAGCCTTCCATAATTTTGAACTGTGACTAATATTACTTGAATAGCGGGTTTGACTGTCCCATTTATAACACCTTCATAGTTGAAAGTGCGAAACACATTCAGTAACATATTGCGGCTCGAACTTTGATCCTTCCGATTCTCATCCTAGTGAGGTAAATAAAACTATAGCCGTTTGTCAATTACTTGTAGAGAGGTAAGAAATAGCTCATAGCGTAAACACAACACTGTTCCTAACTGGTCCAGAATCACAAAAAATGTTTTATTTAATTACCAATAAAAGAATATTTGTTGTGTCCAAACAGTTATCATAATGCATTGTTATTCGCATTGAAAAAGAAGAACAGTGTTACCACGCCATTTACTGACAGTCACCATAGCAGAGAAGTGGTCCCCCCGATGGGACAGAGGTAAGTCTACGGACTTACAACGCTAAAATTTGGGGTTCGATTCCCAAGGTGGACACAACATATAGTCCAATGTGGCTTTGCTCTAACAAAAAACATGGGAACAAACTGAGAAGTGAATTTTTCCTTTTCGTAAAGAAATTATAAAATTATAAAACGCGTTTATATAACTATATTACACGAGTGACACTTACATCCAGTAATATCGACGTCACTTGCTAGCTGTTTGTTTCTATTTTCAGTGATTAGAGAAGCACTTTATTTTCAACGTCCGTCTAAAACACAAACTAAGTTAATCGAAATCCAATTTGTAGTTATTAACGCCCGTACATGTGTTTCTCAGGGAGGCTTTGAAAACAACCCACGACCACATTCTGGCTATCAGAAGTAGAACGGAACAAACACGCGAGGATATAATATCTGGTCTTCGTCTTTATTACGTGAAATACGGAAGAGTAAAATAGGATTTTAGAGAAATTAGCTCCCCCCCATATATTGGGTTTAACTCCATTCATCCTGATATTTTAGAATTAGCCTTTACAAAGCATCCCCCCATATATTGGGTTTAACTCCATTCATCCTGATATTTTAGAATTAGCCTTTACAAAGCAGCATGAAAACGAAGTTTGTTTTGTATCTTATCTATGACGTGAAATTATCTACATTAAATATTTCATCTTTCTTGAGAAGATCATCCCCCCCCCAATGACTCAGGCCTATAGCGCTAAAATCCGGATTTCGATACCCGTGATTGACTCAGCACAGATAATTCATTGTGTAGCTTCGTGCTTAATAACAAATAAATAAGTTTTCGTAAGGAATGTAAATGATATTAATCAAGAGCATAATTCAGATAATCAGATAAGGTGAGCAAAACGCCATGAAAATAAACAAACACCAGGCTGAACAAATACTATAAATAACTTACTAATTAAAAGCTAAAAACATATATATTTTTAATTGACATATTCAGCCATCGAGTTGAAACCTATCTTATGCTGAATTTGATTTTTTTGTTCTGTTAAATTACTGTCTAATTATAGTCTGTGTGGCTTTAATGAATTTTATAATTTAAGGAAAGGTCTAGCATACTTGGTATGCTAACAATAGTTGTTTTAACGTTTACACATACAGCTTTAGTAAACTAGGGAAAACATTCAAGACAAATTATTTTTACGAAGTGATCCATTGACAACCGAATCTGTGGTTCATTAACAAGCTTTATAGAACCTTTGATATATCTTATTACTTTCCATCTGAATAGCTGTGCTTGAACCATTTTTGCTAAGGATCAATACGGGAAAAGCTGAATAACGTGTAAGCGCGAAATGATGACGTTTGACTTTGTTTACTTGACAATCTTAGGCTTTACACACGTATTCTTCGAATATGTGCTGTGTGTGTGGAAGTTCGAACGTGTTAGCTGCCATACAATTCTTGTTTCCTGTGTGTAATATTTAGTTTAGATCATCACACGTGGTCACGTGCTGTATACAACTTAGCACTCATCACGTGACTAAAAACAGGCTGACGTAAGACGATGTCCACGCGGCAAAGGGAATGATTACCCACTAGAGCAGTTTGGCGCACGTTCAAACATCAGTCGGCGGTCGTTACCTCTTTCCCCACTCCTCTTGAACATCAACCGGCAAAGTTCACCATGGTCAGGGACACAGTCTGGAGGTGGAACGGGCGTAAAGGGAGTTTTTTGTAAGTTTCCTTTACACTATTGAAATACTTAATTTGCATAAAAGCGTCATTATTTTTAAGTGTCATTGAAGAGGGTAATCGCAGTTTTTCAATAGCACTAATTGAAATAAACGAACGAATTAAAGTGTAATGACATAAAGATCATAAATACCTATATCATTATTAGATTACTTCCAACTAAAGAACCAAATTTCAAAGGCTAGTTCTGTCAAGTTAATACATCTGTTTTGACATTGCATTAAAGGCATATTAAGCTATTTCGTTTTGTTTGGTTCAGTTATAAATGTTTGAATGATAATAATAAAATAGAGTTCCTCTTCAAATCGTGATTACAAATAGTAAAAGCTCGAAATCGAGTAAACTTTAATGTAGTCACAAAACGAGTTACTTAAATTAATTGTGAGGAATGGAATTACTTTTATTAAATACGTTTTTTCGAATGTTCTCGACCTTTCGGTTGTAATGAAATGTATCTATGTAATAAGAGCATTACTTAGAATATTAAATCTGACATAAACCTATTTCTTACTTACAGTAGGTTACATCTTTGTAGCTCTTGAAACACAAAACATCTTTGCTACAACGAAAGTGTTAATTGCTTTATACAATAGAGTTACATCAGAATAAAGATAAGAACAACATATCTTTAAAGTAGTGTTTTGTAATTACAACAATGGAAAGTCATGTGTCAGTAAAAACGCATGAGAGGTATTACAGAGTGTGTTTGGTGCTAAGACTAAATCCACTACTGAATATATCAATATAAGTAGAGAACTAAAGTAGCACCTTTGGTTGTTCATTGTTCATCCCATGTGAACCGTTTATTGTTTACCCACCCCTATTTGAACTATTCATTGTTCATCCCATGTGAACCGTTTATTGTTTACCCCTATTTGAACTATTCACTGTTCATCCCATGTGAAGTATTCATTGTTTATCCCAATGTGAACCGTTTATTGTTTACCCACCCCTATTTGAACTATTCACTGTTCATCCCTATGTGAACTGTTTATTGTTTACCCACCCCTATTTGAACTATTCACTGTTC